CACATTCATCTGATCCATTAGAAACTAAAAATAAATCCTTTCACTATTTTTACACTAGGCACTAATTTAATTATATTCTGTGACTAAAGCTATTACATTACGTATTTTCTATACAAATTACCTTGTACTTTCCTAGCAATGATATGAGCTATCTCAATATGTCACAGGTACTCTTGTAGTCTGAGAAATAGTATGAGGTAAGAGGCAATATGAACATAGTACCGAATAAAATGCTTATAAGATGGGATTCCTTCTCTCAGCCAGAAAAAGCAGACACAACACATTAGGTCAGTCATTAGGAGTAAAGCTCCACGAACAATACCACGTCTGCGTTAGTGTGGATCTAGAGCTCCTACGTGCCTACCGGAATTTGAAACACTGTGTTTTCCAGAAAACACATTTAAAGGAGAAAACTATCCCTTAAAAAACAAATTCGAGAATCATTTAAACACAGTTTTACTGGCATAGTTTCAGAATCTATCGTGAGATATTTTGTCTAAGTTAAATTTAAAACTCCTCATTTTTCAAGCTGACCTGTTACAACTAATAGGTTTTAAAATGATGAACAGCCACAGAACCATAAAAAATATTTCACTTTCATAAAACCAAAGATCACTGTCTGAAATGAAGTTTCATTTTTAAAACTATGCATTTGGAAAAAAAAAATCATATACTCTTGGAAGAAATGGTCATTTTCCACAAAAGAAAATGTGAGTAGGATTCAACAGTAGCACAGAACTAAAACACACACTGTCAAATAAAGGCTGTTTTGCTATTTGGCAAATACAGAGCTTGTTGCTATATAATGGGTAGGAGAGAGGGGATGGGAAGTTCCAGGTATTTGCAAATCAAGAACACAAGGGTTTTTTTGTTTTTGTTTTTGTTTTAACTTAGTCTTGTGAAAATATTAGCATTTTAAAAAAAAATCAATGTTAGATTTGAATTAGGTTTAGGAAATTATAAAGAGACAATGCACAATTATAGTATCAGGGCATGTAAATAATTGAAATTTATTATCTACTTTTAAGACCATTTCTATAGAGATAGAGAACTTTGAAATGCACTGTCATGAAAGAAGAAACTCAAACCATGTATGTGTGTGCAAAGGGACAAAAACTCAGTGGCAGATGGGGCGAAAGGCATGGCTTCAGATGGGATCCTTTGGAGGGGATTTCCAGGATCACCCACAGGTTTGGTAATTTGCTACTTTTCGCTACATCCTTTGGCCAACTTAAGTCACGAGGTGAGCTCAGATTCAGACAGGGGAGATAAACTTCACCTCTTGATGGGAAAGAGGCAAGGCGCTCTGCAAAGGGGTGTGCCGACAGGGGTGGCGGGAGTCGTTATGGCCATCTTTGCAAACAACCGACTAGCACATGAATGCATGTGGTCCTTTTGCCATGCAGTGGGTGTCTGAATCATAAGGTTTGGGGGATGAACAGGAGAGCTCATAACTCAATGAGTTCAATGTGAGAGATTTACTACAGTTACCATAAAGATTGCTATCCTCATACCCGCACATGGGGCATGGAAACCTGCACTTCCAGGCATACAGCGATGTTCCAGATGTCCATAAGGGTTCTAATCCCCACCCCCAAACACCACTGACAGAGAGCAGGGTCACACGCAGGAAGAGCTGTACAGTAGTGCAAGGCAGGTGGCATGCCCTTAGTGTACAATGAGATACAGAAACTATTGCCACAGGTGCTGAGAAGAGGGGACAGTCCCTGAGGAATGGATAGATCAGAATGTGCAACAGAGGAGGGGACCCAACCTCACCCTGAGGAAAGGGCCGGATGCAGAGACTGGGGTGCAAAGGAGGGGACATCCCAGAAAGGTATTATCGTGCACATAGTGTCTGAAGGTAACAGCTCATCAGGAGGGAAGCTGGAAGAACTTCTAAGGAGAGGGGGCAGAGGATAGTCGGCTGTGAACACGGAGTTAAGGTCTGGCCTTTAGCATGTGCACTTAGGCCTGGGGCCCAGACACCTGCAAGGAGGTGACGGGAAGAGGGCTTACAGCAGGAAGACATTGCACTAGCAAAGGGACCGGTGACTGAATGAGTTTAGAGCAAGGGCAGAAAAGAAAAAATCAATGATGACTGCGAGCATGAAGCTGGGAAAATCATGGTATCACTGACAGAAATAGAAGGAAAGAGCTGACTTGAGGACAAGGATAATGATTCTCACTTTAAATATGATGAACGGAAAGTGACAACAGGCAACTTAGAACATTGCTGGCTATTTATTAACTGTGTGACTTTGGGAACATTATCCAACCCCTCTAAGCTCAGTTTTCTTATCTGTAAAATAGGAATCATACCGGTGTACAACTCATTAGGTTATTGTAAGGACTGAACGAAATCATGGCAATAGTGGGCACTCAAAAACTGACAGGTACAGGCGCCATCATCATTATCCAGTTTATTATTTGACAAATAGCCCAGGAACCGAGTTTTTTGGGTCACATGAACTTATTATCTGATACACCTCTTATCAGGTTTTTTTTCCCCTCCAGTACAACTGAGGTAATTTAAAACATTCTATTCTAATGGCAGTCCTTGTAAATTTCCCATCACATTTGAGTCTGAGCAATTTAAAACCCAGAGAAGGCTCCAATTCTATGACAAATTCATCACCGCAAACTATTAAAACTAGGATGTCAGCTGACCCATCTGGATTAGATGTGAACATTTGACAGCTATGGTTCTTTCTAAGAAGCATAACCCAGTAGGTTTAAATGGGGCTTCTTTACACCAAAAGAAAAAAAACCTTGAAAAAACATGATTTAGTAATAATTTGCAACATGCTAAGGATCTCTTTGAGATGAGAGGTGTCTGTCTGGCTCTGTTCATTTGGAATATAAGAAAATAAGATTAAATAAAGAGTATAAGATCTTATAGTAATAAGGCAGATACAAGCAGTGGGGAAACAGAGAAGGTAAATCCCAAGTAAATCTGAGAATTTGACATTGGAATTACTGGTAATCCTGGGCAGCGAAACACATATTTATCATGTACATAGTCAGTGCTTAATAAAGATTTGTTAAATAGGGAGACACCACAGACCCAGGACCCGGGAGCAGCTCGGAGGCGGTGAATAATAGCTCTTCAAGTCTGCAATAAAAAATGGCCTCCAATAAAACTACATTGCAAAAAATGGGAAACAGAATGGAAAGAGTAAAAAAGTAGAAGAGGCAGAGCCTGAAGAATTTGTGGTGGAAAAAGTACTGGACCGACATGTAGTGAATGGGAAGGTGGAGTATTTCCTGAAGTGGAAGGGTTTTACAGATGCTGACAATACTTGGGAACCTGAAGAAAATCTAGATTGTCCAGAGTTAATTGAAGCGTTTCTTAACTCTCAAAAAGCTGGTAAAGAAAAAGATGGTACAAAAAGAAAATCTTTCTGACAGTGAATCTGATGATAGCAAATCAAAGAAGAAAAGAGATGCTGCTGATAAACCAAGAGGCTTTGCCAGAGGTCTTGATCCTGAACAAATAATTGGTGCCACAGACAGTAGTGGAGAATTAATGTTTCTCATGAAATGGAAAGATTCAGATGAGGCACACTTGGTGCTGGCAAAAGAGGCAAACATGAAGTGTCCTCAAATTGTAATTGTTTTTTATGAAGAGAGACTAACTTGGCATTCTTGTCCAGAAGATGAAGCTCAATAATTGTTCGCATTGCTTTTTATATATATTTATATATATATATATATATAAAATGTGGGTCTTTGTTTTTTGATTTATTAGTGTGAAGAAATAACATTCTAATGAAAATCAAGTTTGATATGTTTGTTTTGAAGTAGTATTGGGGGAGTTGTTGGGGTTTTTGCATCTATAGCACTGGTTACTTTAAGCAAATAAAAGCTTTCTGTAGTTGCTTCCTTTATCAGAAAAGAATATTTGAGACCATGATATATTATCCCCTTGCATTAGAGAACCTTTTCTAAATGTTGGGGGAAATCTTCATAGTCTTTACTCAGTCAGAATTTGTGTTTAACTCCTATATGCCTAAGGACCATTCTGAGTTTTTTGTTTATTTAGGGGTTTTTTTGTGTGTATACTTAAAATACATACATAAGTGGTTTTTGTTTTTAACATTCACCAAAACAAAAACAGCATTTTATAACCATGGATAAGCCCATGTTTCCGGGATTCTATCATTTTCAGCATTTTAAGAAATAAATCACTTAAACTGAAGTTTTTCCTGAGGCCTTAACCTTTCAAATTTTGTAATTAATTGGACAATTTAAATATAATGTAAACAATTTAAATTGGACAATTTAAAAGCATCCATATCAGAATCCACATCCTTCTCTACAGCCATATAAACGCAAGTTTATTTGCAAGATCCCTGAAAGGAAAATTTCATCACCACCACCAACCTCCCCACCCAAATGACAAAACTAGACAAGTCCTTGTGTGTTTTACTTAGGTAAGCAATACTTTAGTTAAATGGACATTTAAAGGTTCCTTCTAGTGAACCATTCCTTTTTAAGAAGTTGAAATTCTCTGTGCTGTATTGACTAAAAGGTCATGATTCATGGACTGTCTACAACTTCCTTCATGGAAACTAATCATAATCAGATGGTTAGAGATGTTGGCAGTTTAGCACCTGCTGGAGTAAATGGGTGGACAGGCTTCTATCATCCAAATTCTTCACCTGCATGTTTTTTCTTTACCCCAGTTCATTCCTGACATGGAGGCTCAGTCTTTTCAGTGTTTGAGTTACTGGTTCAGCACAAACCAGGAAAAACAGTAACTTTGTAGTCAGAATGTTATCCAACTGTATATTGTTTACTTTATTGTAAATACTGGTAAACAGTGGTCAATAAATAGTTTTATATTCCTTTATGTGTTTAGACTTTTTATTAATCTGATTTTCTAGTGGGAGTAGACACATACCTGAGAATCCTGTTCATGTTTATATATAACACTAAAGCATTAGAGTACATGTCTTAGATCTTTTGAGCTGAGGAGTTTCAAACTTACTAGTACATGTATTTCCACAATAATGAAAATTGGTTTCTTGGGGTGCCTAAGAGGAATCTGCTTCATTAAAATGAAATTTTGATACTTAGAATCTAGTTTGTTGAAACTGCTGTCTGAAAAACAGTTATGATAGGATAGATCCTGTTGTGAGAGACAGATTTCTACTAATCTCCAAAATTCATAGAGAAAAGGAAATCATTTTGCCGTATATCTAAATATTTAATTATGTTGTGTATCTGAAACTGATAGGTTATATGTCAAGTTATACCTCAATTAAAAAACAATTAAAAAAAAGATTTGTTAAATAATGCTGAAATTGATGATGTTTGAGAACAATAAGTGAATTATTTTTCTTCATTTCTTGCCATTAGACACTATACTATTCCTCATAGTTTTCTTTAAAGAGTAAGTAAACAAAGGTATGGAAACAGAAAATCAAGGTATTTAAAGCTAGAAGGAGAGGAAACTGAGATCTAGGGAGGTTAACAAATGTGCCTGAATCAGTTTCCCATAATATGAGAGCTGAGGCCAAACCACTGACAGCCCCATGTATACCCCACCACCCCAGCATGGAGAAGACATAGTAATGGAGAAAATCCAGCCAGTCAATTTTGTGATTTGTCTGAAGGTCTAACAAAAGGTTGAGAAATGTGGACTTCAATTACTTAAGCCATAAATGTTTCCCATTATGAGATTTAAGCAGTCATGACCATCTAAAATACAGATTATTTTTTTTTTTGGCCATTAACACGGTCACATTTTACAGTTTGGCAGTATGAGGTTTTTGATATTTTTATCAAAAGGTTTTATGACCAAATTGTCAGAAATCAGGGAATTTTATAAAAAGGGTGTACAATTCAGCTGAAGTGTTTTCATATATCCACAGCCTTAGGTCTATGAAAAGGGTTATACCATAGATTATATAGCTCTATTTTTGACCGTGAAAATTTATATGCTGTCCAGATCTTTATTCTATTGAAATTGAACTGGAAAAGGGCCTTAAATAAAATGATTCCTTCAGAATCTGTAAACTGTAGTAGACCTGATTGATAAAGCGATTCAAAATCCCTTTCAAGGGTGCACATGAGGAGAGATATAATAGAGAAAGATAAAGGTTCTTCTTCTCATGATGGATGTGCTTATTTTGTGCTTCCAACCTGGGGTCAGACTGTCTGGGGCAAAGCCCATTTCTATCAGCTCATGTGATCTTTGCCAAGTCACTGAGCTGCTCTGGCCTTTAGCTTCCTCATCTGTAAAATGGGGGCAATAACACTAGCCACTTCACAGGGCTGTTGTGAGGATCAAAGGAATTCAAGATGAGCAAAGCATTTGGAAGAGGGCTTGGCAGGCTGTTAGCACAGGATGTGTGGTCACTGTTGTTACCAGTCCCTCCTGGCCACTGACGCCCTATTCTTCCTCCATCCCCTACTCTTCTCCTTCATCCACTCTGTGTCTTCTCTCTCTCCAGATGCCTTTCCTCCTGGAGTTTTTCAAATTGTAACTCAGTTGTTAAACTCCTGGATCGTCCTGGCTGGAATCAAATCCCCTCACCTCTTTATGCTTCTATAGTAGGTATTTTCTGCCTTATCTTACAGTCAGTATTTATGGACTGTCCCTGCCTGATTTGCTCTTGCAGCCCTGAAGGTACCCTTCTTAGTGCCTGGCACGTGCTCAGCTAGCATTTGTGGAATAAATCAATAGAGAGAGTTGTCATCTACTGCCTGATCAACTGTTATTATCACTGTCACAACGGAGGAAAGACTGGTCCTGGGAGGCCCAAACTATAAAGTTGAGGCAAACATCATGACTGTCTTTTGGATTAAAGCACACCTTGTGAAATGCAAAGATCATTTAATTTCATGGAAACTTAGAGAATTTGTGGAACAAAATCAACACAGAATAAAATCTCAGACTTGAAACAAAGCTAACTTGGTCAGTACCTCTGACTGGCAGGGTGTTGCGTTACTATCATCTCTCCATTATCCACACTGGAGAGGAGGAGTGGACCGTTCAAGATTAATACCCATTTGGCCATGGAAAATTATTCCCGAAGTCAAAACCTCTTATGTTTTCCTGTCTCTCTCTCTAGGATAATCTAGATACCGTCATTAAAACATTAATACAGTGAGTGTCTACCAGGGGCCAGGCATAGTGTTCTCCTGTGTATTCCCTCATGTAATCCCCCAAACAACTTTGTGATGTAGGTTCTCTAGTCTCTGTATTTTACAGATGAGGTGACTAGGCACAGAGAAGTTGAGTTACTTTCTCAAAGTCAACTGGCTAGTGCAATCATTTAATTTCAATTCCTCTTCCTATACTTATTGTCCTAAATGGCAGTGCAATGGGAATCAGTGTAGAATATCTGAGATACTCAGCTTCTAGTGGAACAGGAGGCCAGAGGAATTCTTTCAGGTTAAGTCCGATCTGGTCCAGCTGGGCAGGAAGGGCAAAGTGTGTGAACTGCAATGGGTTTCAGGAGTCAAAGGTGCTCAGGTTAGATCCAAGCTGGCCTCCGAGTCCTAGGGGATCCAAGCTGGTGGGCAAAGCAATGGACTCCGACTTCTCCAGAAGCACTCTGCGTGAGACACACACTCTTTCTTTGCCTGCCTATTTCTATCCTTTAGGTCTCATACTGGCTATCACTTTCTCTGAAGTCAGCCTCACGCCCGCTCCCCAACCTTCATTAAGCATCCTATATTCCCGCAATGCTTTGCAGTCATCTTTCAGGATTAACCATCTTGGATACTAACTATCCATCTCCCCAACTGGACTATAAGCTCCTGGAGGGCAGGGCAGTGTTTGTCTCATTTACTTTCACATATTCCCAGTGTCTGCAGTGCACAAGATGCTAACACATATTTATTTCCAAAACAGAAAAAGATACAAGCCTGAGGACAAAAGCACACAGGGCAGAGACACCTCCTAAAGTGATTGCGGGTAAGGAGAAGACCGGTGTGCCCACTGCACATTAAGTATAAGGTGAGGACCGCACATACAATCAGGCACCTAGGGAGGATTTGGAATTGTTACCAAGAATCCATAGAGGGTCTCAATTTCAGTCCCTGATTTGAAAGCTATACACACCTGTGCCCACTGCGGTCACAAAAATATAGGTGTCTACTGAGTACCCATGTCACTTTGAGTGTTGACAGCTTCACTTAGAAGGCATAAGAGTCTTTTAGAGTTTTTAGCTGGTGGGGAGAAGCAGGAAGAGCACCCGGGAAGGGAGAACACAGGATTTGGAAAAGTTAAACTACGCTCTCTTCTTTGGAATTGACATGAGCCTACCGACCAGGGGATAGGAAGCAACCAAGAGCTGAACAAGGGGACACTTTGGCATAGTATTAGAATGTGGCAAAGGGGAAACCATACAGGCTACTTTGCTTTAATCATTAATGAAAGTGCACCTACTTCACGTACTATGGATCCGGTTTCGGGGAGAAAAGATAAATTAATCTGAGCCTACTCATTTTTTGATTGCTTCAAGCAAACAACTTTTAGCAATGTTACAAAGCCAGCTAGCAAACTAAAGAGAAATGAGGTCCAAGGAACCGAAACACGAAAATTTGAAGAGAAAAAGAACTGCATAAAGCAAAACAGTCCAAATACAAGGCTAACCAAACAAAAGCTAAATCCAATAAGCAGGCATTGCCGTGTGCCCTGGAGGACTGCCAAGGAGAGTGAATTTCCACAAAGAATGCGTCTGCCACCAGTTCGGAAAACTTCAATTCCAGAAGGGCTGAAGGAGGGTTGCAGCCATCGCAGAGCAACATGGGAGCACTGGGGTGGAGAGGTGCAGATCAGATCCTATTTCGGCCTCTGTAGACAAATGCTGGAACTCTCCCTAGCAAGACAGAAGCGAGCAGCCCACTCCCTCCCATGCACCCCAACACAGCCCTTTGCCAGAAACAATTCAGGTCATAGAAATTTGCAACTTTGAGGATGGCCTTCTCTTCTCCATTTGTAGAGAAAAGCGCCACTATCAATACTTTTTGGCCAAAATCCTAGGATCCTAAGTGTTGAGATGAAGTGAGTCCATGCAGCCCAGGAGAAAGCACTGGCCATCACCTGTCACCTTGGACCCTAAAGACAGAGTCCTGGGCATTGAGGCTGAAATCAAGGTAGATCAAGGAAGCCTCACTCCCTGGGTTAGAGCTCAGCTCTGGCCTGGCGTAGTCCTAGTCGTAAGAGCAGTCATCCTAGGAGTAACAACCATGACCACCACTACCGCAGGCCCCCTGCCTGAGCGTTCATATTAGGCCAGGCATACAGCTAGGCGCTTTGCATGAATGAACCCTCTTCACAACCCCTTATTATCCTAATTTTACAGCTGCTCACTTTACAGATAAAGGAACCAAGCTAAACTGAGACATTTCTCAAAGGTCTCCCAGCCAATAGCAAAGGAGCGGTTATTCCAAACCTGCTTTCTTAACCAACAGACTTGGCCAGAAATGCAATAAAAGAAGGCAGATAATCAGCAAACACTTATTAATTGTTGGCATGGTATGTACTATGAACCATGTAAGGTGAAACTGGGGCAAAAAATAAGGAAGATTAAACAGAATTCCTTTTCCTTACTCTGTAAAAACAAACAAACAAAAAACTCGAACTTTATTAATCTTTAAAGAAAGAAGCCCCCGTACCCTAAAATCCACTGTAATCTATCCAGCAAATATTCAGGTTGTTCAAATCTCTAAGGAGACTAACAAACAAAACAAAAGGAGAGTTGATCATATATAGCTCAGGAGCAGTTTTTGGTTCGCATTATCTAAAATGTGGACTTACTTAGTTCCAAGCATTGGGAGGCCTGAGAGTCTGAAGCTCCTTAAGATTTCCTGAGTGTAAGCATTGCTTTTTTGCTCAGATTACTCTATTGCTTTCTTGATTGAAATTTCTGTACATTAATATGTGCTTTTTTTCCCCACATGACCTATTTTCCAACGGGACTGAGGGGGAAAATCGCAAATGCGTATTTAAAGCCACAAGAATATTTAAATTCTCCCTATTTTTGTCAGACATTTTTAATACTTTCTATTTGAAGATGAAAGATAAAAACTTGTGTGCATGATTAATTGTAATGATGAAAGAATGCGAGGCAGTTGCTTAAGAAACAAGAACAACAAAGGGATAAACTACTGCAGGCATCACTAGGACTGGAATGACACTGCTCTGTGTACTTGATCTCCATGGCAACTAGCAATGGGAAGATGAATGTTTCATAGTCACTCCACTCTGCAGTACACGTCTATAAATCAAACTTGCATAAAGAGCACAAGATTTCTGCTGTGGGCTGTACTCAGAGCTGGTTTATTTTCCTGTTACTGTATAAGTATGGAAAAGAAGCACAAGACAATGAGGTCATTTTTAGTGGGGAACAAACTCAGAAATTACTAATACACCTAGGATGTCATTCATCTAGGAAGAGAGGAAAGGGCAGGAGAGGCAGGCAGGGAAAGTGGGGTTGGGGGGAGGGGATGAAAACCCTGCCTGCTTCAGTAGGGGTAACAGACATAGGCACTTGTGTGCTCTAAGAACCGCGAGCTGCCTGCCTCCCTGTCCCTCTCCTTAGCTCTGCTCCGAACCTTTTGTGGGAGCATCTTCATCAATGGTCTTGGATACAAAGTTTCACTCTGATAATTGGGCAGAAATAATGCTCTGGGTTTAGTATGAAAGTTTAGGGAGGCTAAACAGACACACACTTGTTTTTATTTACACTGAAAATGGCTCCTCATTGTAGAAGTTAGGGCAGAAAACTAATACGCTGGTGTTGAATTGGGAGTCAGGAGACCTGAGTTTTGATCCAGGTCTGTGTAACCTTGGGGAAGCTATTAAGTTCATTGACCTCCATTTTCTTAGCTAGGAGAGAGACAGTGGACATGATTTCTGACATCTCTACCACCATCTGAGGCCACAATTCTATAATCTCTAAATCTCAAAAATCCAAATCAGTGAGATCTAACCAACCATGTTAGCTGTGTCATTTCTAAAAAATACATCTCTTATATAGCCACACTATGAATTAATACTGTTTTATGATTTTATCATCACAGTGAAGCCTCTGCCAACATGTGTCAATCTTCTAAATACAGAATATGCTGTGGAAAATGAAACAAATTTCATTATCAGAGTTTTAAAAAATGCACAATCTTATACCTGATTTCTATAACATTATAAAGAATACTTAAATTTACATAATCTTCCTGTTGCATAGATGAGGGCTGCCTATCAGTTCCAGCCAAGCAGGGAGCATTCCACTGCTTGGAGTCTGCAGCTCTCAGCAAAGGTTGGAGGCTCTTCTGGGGTTCATCGCTGGAACAGTAATGCTCGGTGAGAGTTTGTGAAACAAATAAATGAGTGGAAAACCAGCTGTGAGGAACACCTTTGCTACACCTTTTAGCAATCTTGTATCACCTTCCCTAGTCTTCAATGTTTAGGCCGATTTTGACCAATAGACAAATATCACCAGGATAGAGAGGCAAATATTTGAAAGCCAGGTAAACTATCCGAATCTCTCTTCCGTGAGTCTAGGAGTCTACAAGATCCCTGTGGAACTTCACAACCTAGAAATATCTTTTCATTAGTGGAGCATGAGGCATTATCAGACACAAAGAGGACCCCTGGTCCTCAGGCCTGGCTAAGCCCGGGGGTAGGGCAGGGGCTCCAAAGGACTGAGTCCCAGCCTCAGCCGCCAATGAAGGCAGAGCAGGGAGCACTCATTATCTCATTTAATGCTTATGCCAACTCTGCAGAAAAGAGGCTATTATCCCTGTTTTATAAGTTGGGAAAGCTGAGCTCTAAAGAATTTATGTAAGTGACTACAGGGTGATGGTTAGGAAGTGTGCAGCAAAATTCAAAACCTGCTCTCCCTGATCCCAAGGCCTCCCTATGCTTCTGACTGCATCTCAGGACACATTCGGGCAACAGATGATTGCTCCACTGGACTTCTTTGGCACTAAAAAAACAAGGGGTTAAAAAGAGTTAAACAACCCTAGCCCTAAAAAAGCACACTGGTAGTAAAAAATAGTAGTAATCAGGGGCGCCAATCAGTGGCTTAGCTGGTTAAGCATCTGACTCTTGGTTTCGGCTTAGGTCATGATCTCAGGGTCCTCGGATCGAGTCCCATATCAGGCTCCACGCTCAGTGCAGAGTCTGCTTGTCCCTCTCCCTCTGCTTCTCCGCCCGCTCACACACACTCCCTCTCTTAAATAAATAAAATCTTAAAAAAAGAATAGTAGTAATCAGTATTTCTTAATTCTAATTTCAGATCCTAAATAGACCTATCACTCCAGCATACATTACCACCCATACTTCAATTCCCCAGATGACAGGCTAAAGGCCATTTCCACGATGGAGCAAGATGTCACACAACCATGTAATTTCCAACATGTGAACACTATGAGAGCCAATGACATCTTTATAGGAGTTTGCTAGCAATGTATTCTGTTGCCTAGCAAAGGGATTTGGTTTGGTTCTTAAACTGAGAAGATGTAATAATTTGGGCATATATTTTCTATACTAATTTTTCAAGACCTAATAAAATAACATTTATTAAGGAAGGCTCCAGCTTTTTACTACTGCCTCTTTCCAATTAGTTTCTTATCAGAGTGTTTAGCACCACCAACTGGTTAAAGAGATCTACTACAAGTTTGTTTGGCTCTCAACCCGCTTTGTTCATTAAGAGAGGATCATACATTTATTTCATATTTAATTTGTGGTAAAGGAATTTACTTCAGCTACTAAATAAAATTAGAAATGCCTTTCCTTGTCAGTCAAATAAATAGTAATCCACTTTGACTTGTTCACATAAGAAGAACGTATATTTTGGTTAGTAAATCATTAGAGAAAACTAATCTACCCACTAAAACTAATTTGATTTATTATACCATAAGCTCGCCCTCAAAAAACAAAGACTAAGAACTACAATGAAAATTAGAAAATAAAATAGGAAACTAAATGGGACTGAAGACTACACTAGCCTATAGTGTTTATATCAAACATTAATTGGGAATAAAAATGATCGAGGAGGTAACTGCACTTTTAAGAACTTTGGAGTTTTCCACCAAGATTCCTGACCTCAAGATGGATGCTGCCATCTGACAAGAAAATATATTCCACCATTTATCTTTCCTTCCTGTTTAACTGAACCCCATCTAGCAATGGGTAACTATACATATAGCATAACTGAGCCCTGAGGGTTCAAATCTGATCTCTGTACAATGAATCAGTGAAAAGAAATAACCCTGAAGAACTAACTCTGACGATTCCCCCCAAACAACTAACTTGTGAATATAAGTTGTCCATGAAAAGAACATCCAGCCAACTTATTGTCATGACCAACTTGTAACCGACAGAATGAATGGCACCATTATAGCAAATTTGGTCACTGCAGAAACTTTTCTACTACTCTATGAGGCAATGTACAAGAGAGAAAGAAGAAGAAGGTTCCATTCAATTAAATGAATTGGACTCTGATGGCAGAGTTCCATTAAAAGCTTTCTGATAAAAAGGAAGTGGAGAAAAAAAAAAAAAAAGCTTTCTGATAGAGTTTAAAACTACTGTAATAATTTTCTGACAGCAGTTTAAAATCTCTATACAAATATGTGGTCAAGTTCATATTTTTTAAGCCCTCTGCATCTAAATCTGCCAATGAAAGCCCCATAAGGAAGATAATCTGTGATAGTTCCAGATAAAATTAAGGACAAGCAGATGCTCCACCCAATTTAACACACAATTTAAAGATGCAAACTTTAACAAACTTTATTCTATTCCTTTGTTTATTCATTCATTCATTCATTCATTCATTCATTCATATATTCATTGAACACTCTCTCCATCAAACACAGGTAGGTTTCTGCAAAAAGGGAAGAGTGTGCCTCTTCTACTGCCCTCACCTCTCCTTGGGTTGAGCCTTGGATATGCCATCTCCAAGGCAGAGAAGATTTTTATTTGAAGTCATGAATGGATTACAAGAAACCTTAACAATAATATTGACTTGGGTTGAGAAATGCATTTTGTAACTTTTATTTTTGTTTCCATACAGGTGGAATGATACTTAATGCTAAATGTGTTCAGGCATTTTATTTTAACTGTAAATTCAGTCTACTCTACCATTATTAAGCAGTGGTATTCTTAAATCAAAAGACAAAATTTTGAAGTATAAAAAAGACACATGACCATTAACAAGTACCAGCAGTGTGACTGGCATCAAATAAAAGATTTTTATTGTTTGTCAGTTTCCTATGTCAGTTTTTTTCTTTAACCAAAGGTTAAAATAATTGAGAATTAGGTCCACTGTCGCTTGAAATTAGGAATAGAGCTCAGCTTCACCTGTACAATGGGTATAAATAATAGCTGATGTGTAGCATCACTGCACAGATTCGGTAAGATTATGCTAGCAGGTGCTTAATGAATGGGAGCTGCCATTGCTGGCACTGGAATGATACAATGCCAGGAAAGCTGGGGGGAGGGAGTGAGCATCAAGGATAGGGTTCCTTGGCAGGGTGCTCAACACCCAGAGAAGATGACAAGAATGAAACCTGAGAAAAGGAGGGCGAGCTACCTGGAGGGACTTAGGTCAAGGGAGCAGCTTTCTAGGCTGGGAGATTAGAGTATGTCTGTAGACAGTCTGGAAGTTATAAAAGGAGAGGAAATGCCTGATGGAGGATGGTCTTACATTAGAAAACAGGGAGGGGATGAGATCGGAATAAAGGAGAGGAATTAGGAAAAAAAAAAAAAAGAGAGAGAGAGAGATCCTATTCCTTACAACTAGAATTGAAAGAAATTGAGAACTTTGAGGGTGAAGAGGAGGCAGGAAAGAAAACCCAGGCAGAGGCCATGACCATCTCCATGAAGCAGAAGGCAAGCTCACCTGCAAGGGCAGAGCAGATAGAAAGGTTCGGTACAACGATGACAGAGAGCAAGTCAATCTGATCATGTGTGACAATGCTAATGACCTGACTTGGGGTGTGAGGCCGAGAATTCCAAGGCCCTTCAGAGGCATGCAGGCCATGGGTACAGGAGGAGATGCAGA